GGGCTGTTGGTTCGGTCCGCAGCCCTGCCGCCCGGTGCTGGGGCTGTTGTGTCAGGCAGGAGTCCTGCTGCCTGGCACCAGTGCTGGGGCTGTTGTTTCATAGCTGGGGAAGTATTTGAAAAGCGCCGATCTTTTTATCTATTTTAGGAATTATGGTGTAAGGACTGGTGTACAGGATCTACACTTTAGTTTCTTGCCCACCCTGAAATCTAGAATTAAATTTGCATTGAACCATTGCCTTGATACTTTCTCAGTGACAGAGTTCTGACAAAACCCACATTTCTAGGTAGACTATTTTATTTGAGGCTTCTATGCAGAATGTTAAACTGACAATACAGTCAATAAGGAAACAAGTCCTATTTCAAGGTAATTTTCTTCAGTGTATGATAAAATCCACATCCTATAATTCTACAGAAGAGTTATGTGAACGGCTCAGTCATCAGGTTAGCACTAATTATTGGTGGGAAAACAGTGGTTGTTTAGCTGTGACCCACTTGTACAGTTTTTCTACTGTTAATGAACGTAGAACTTCTCTGCACTTGTGTTATTTGATAAGAATGCATTGAACCTTATGCCACCTTTGTCCTGAAGACTATGAAGCTCTTAATTACAGAAATTGTAGGAATTCACATATTTCACCAGTTTTTTTGCTGCACTGGCATTGTGCTCAGCTAGGCTCAGAACAGGAGATTTTCACTTATGTCTTCTGCAACAAAGGAGGAGAAAATGTTATTAACATTTGATGCCAAAGAGACGTTTTTATACTATGTCACTATCAAGGAAGTGATGCACTAATATTTCAGAGGCCTCATACAGGAATGCTGTCCCTAACCAAAAAAACCCCAAGTGTAGTTGCTGCTATCCTATATAGGAGCCATTAATTTAGACCCTTCTTGATAGGTGCTTTCTTGTTTCTAGTGGTAGGTGGTCTTGATCTGTTTGTGGGCCAAGAATCCCTTCCACTCCCCTCTGTACAAATGACTGACTCTAAACCTGTCTTTGGATGAACAACTGTTGGCTGCAGTACTTGTGTATTGTGGTGCCTCCTCACAGCTTCCACGTGCACTGTGACTGCTGAACTGTCATCAGAAGAGCTGGAAAAACTCTGGGAAGAGCGAAGGCTCTGCATGCCTGACCTCTGGCCAGGGTCAGACTCCACTTAAAATTAGGGAGTTGCTAGTAGGGTTTTGAGCACGTTTCTTCAGTCCACATGTTTAGCCAAATGTCTTCTGTCACATAAGTGTTCTAGCATTAAACTGTGCTACTGCTGCCTTTGCCTAACGAGTGGCAGCACTGTTCATCTGTCCCTCGGGGCTAGAGGAGAAGAAGGTAGACAGCGAAAGAACGTCTTATGTTGAATGTAGTCTTGCAAATCTCCAACTGTCATCATGACAAGCTGCTTCCTAATGTTCAGCTGCTAAAGTCCAGCCAGAAGTTCCTGAAGTTCAGCTGCTGCCTAATTCTAGAGACATTGCCAGCACAGCAGTACCGAGCTTTTGCTTTCCTGGGTAAGTCTTGATGTGGACTGAACTGAACCACATACATGCCTAGCCCGTTTAGGATTCAGGAACTGTCCCTGCATCTGCCTAAGCCTCCTGATACTTGCAGTCTGGTGGGCACCCTCTCAGCATGTGTTGCATCTGGAAGATTAGGTGAAACAGCTGGTTTGGCCTGTAACTAGAATGTGATGACAGCATTTGTGTTGTACATAGCAATCTAGAGGTGAGCTTAGTTATTTGATCAATGAGAGATTTTGTTTGTTTTCCCTGCTTGGCTTGAGACCTGTAAACGCATTGTCAATCAATATGCTTTGACTGCTGATTAGAAGTACCAGATTGCTTTGCCTGTCCTTTGACATTGAAGGAAGAGAGTGTTACCTGAGAGACAAGCATGCAGAACATAGAGGTTCAGATGCCACACAGGAATTATCTTATATTTAGTGCACACGAACTCCCAAATTTTTTCTCATTAAAAAGATTACTCTTCCCTGTCTTTACAGAACAACTCACAACCTTGCACCATTTGCAGTCTTGTCATTACTGTTCCATTGGTGCAGTACCCATGAACTTCTGGCTATGGTTTCTTTCCCACATGTCCTGTGGTCTGAGAACGTGCCTAGTCTTGGTAGGAACATTTCATCCTGTATAGCTACCTGTTCTTTTAGGTTTACCTTCCTTAATCCCAAAGCAGTGGCACCATTCCTTCAAAGCAAGGAGTTTGTCCCGGTCCCCGTCGCAGTCCTGGAAGAAGCGGGTGATGCAGTGCTCCATGGGCACCAGGGAGGCCCTCAGGGGAGCCAGCTCCGAGTGCGTCAGGGACCTGGGAGAGAGAGCAGCTGGGCAGCACTGCATTTCATTCCCTCATCAAGATCACCAAGGATGATCAAAGCTGCTAGAAGATGACAACAGTGGCTTTGACAGAGATGCTCTGGTGGATTCTGTTGTCTGTAGGGAATCTGTCCCAGGTCGTTGTGTTGATGTATAATGCCTGATAAACTAAAGTGTTTTAACTACTGTTTGTTCACTAACATTTTATTCTAGAACAGGTATCACTGTGACTTGTTCACAGCTCATCAGTTGTGGATCTTTGCTGTTAATTTTCAGGAGATCAGGCTTGCAAAGGTGCTCAGCTCTGTTCTAAGACAGTAGGTGTGATCAGCACCTCAGTACTGAGAGCCTGAAGCCTTGACACATGGATCCCACCACCGAGTGTGATCACCAAAAGCCTGAAATCTGAGTCACATTCTCAGAAGCTGGGGGCTTCCTCTGAGCTGTGACACTAGTGCTGTCTTACCATATCAGCTCCTTAAACCCAGAGATTTCTGTAGTATTGTTTGATAGCTATGGGTACATCACTAGTGAATTACTGCTGACAGACCCCTGCCCCTTGTACTTAGCCAGCTGCCCTCAGCCTCAGTGATAATGGGATCTCATGAGTCTTCTTTCCTTCCAGGATCAGGGCATTAGTAGCTATTAAGACATTGTAGAGCTTAAGGTGTGGTAACTGATGATTACGAAAGGTAAAGGAACAGCAGGTTCTGTGTCCTAAGACATGGCTCCAGCAAACCAGTGGGAGAGGTTCTGGGATAGAGATTAGTGCCTCCTGAGAAAGAGAGACACTGGCTTCTGTCAGCTGAGGGACTGAGCCTGTATGTACAGAACCCTTCCAGTGGTTTAGAAAAGCAGCCCGAGCTTAAACAGCAAATTGAAACTGAACCCACAAAGACTTTTTTTTTTACCTGTCAACAGGGTGCTGATCAAGCTGGTGGAATTGCCAGTGCACAGGGTATACATACATGTCATAATTTTTCTCAAAGTCGTGCAGGAGCAGCTCAGCTGCATGGCTGCCAGCCACAAGGCGCTTGTCATTCTGGTAGATTTTCTTGACCTGAACACAACAAAGAAATTGATATTTTTCTGTTTAGGGATGAAGATCTATCCTGAAGAGAACTATGCAGCAAGGAGTTGGAGAAATGAAACTTGATAAAATACCACTGGGGAAATGTTTTTTAGTGTTTATGACCATGACACAACATGTTCATGACACAGCATGAAGAGCTGAATGGCGTAAGTCCTTTCAACTCAAGGGACTCCACATGTGAGCTCTTGGCTGTTTCCTCTTAGGCTGTCTCTTAGTTATCCATACCCAGACCCTCCATCTTACATCTGCGTAGTGTCCTTTGGAAAATGGCACTGACTGCATGAATTGTGTCATCCTTATCTACCTGTCTGTTGTTCTTTCCAGGAGGTTTGTCACAAAGCACTTTCCTGAACAGAAGACGTTTCATATCTTCTCAGGCAACCAATGTTTATCTACACGTGCACTGATTCTGACTTTCCTGCCTCTTGTCTGTAGACACTGGCTTCAAAGTAATACATTTGGCTTGCACTTGCTTGGACAAGAGGAGCAATCATAGCAGAAGTGTACCAGCATAGATGAGTGCAAGGGGGCATGCCATGCATTTTGCAGCTTCTGACTCTAATGGGCTCTAAATTACCTTCACCAGGAAAGGAATACCCATAGGAAATGGGAGAACTTCTAGATGGGAATCACCTTTCTTCACGTGGTTAGTCTGGCTCTAGTAACATAACTGTGGCCTCATTTGGGAAGGATTACTGACCTTACTCCTTTGCTTTTCAGTCAGCAATCCAGAGTTGTCCAGATCCCGTTCATAGTACTGCATGAGGATGTTTTTGAGCCAGTCTCTCATCCGGAGGGGGAACTGGTGCACTTCATAGTCAGTGCAGTGGGGAATGTCTGTGCAAGATGGGAAAGCTCCTGTTAGCAAGTGACCTGCTGAGTCCCCGCTGGAGCATTCCTGAGCCAAGCTAGATTTGGTTCTCACTAGCAAACTTCCAGTTAAGCTTAAAATTGATGGAGCTGTTAACACATAAAATTGGGAATGCAGCTAATTATAAATCTGCAGTTCCTTGGGGCACCAACTTCAGCAGCTGTGCAAGCCACGGCCTTTGTATGTGCAACTTCTAGCACAGGTATCCAGTGAACCTGTTATCAGTCAGTTGTGTCACAGCAGAGCTCCTGGCAGCAAAGAAATATTCTGAGTCTGCACTTTCCTCCCAGGATATGCAGCCAATAAAGAGCTTGGAAATCTGTTCTTGCTTTTAGATCCTGGCTTCTGCATCTGGCATCTTAGTGGGTATTTGGCTGGGTTGGTTTTCTTTTTTTTCTTGACATTTTAATTTAATAACTGGCTGTAAATACTGTTTTTCTGGTCAAGGTATTAAAACATCTTTGGCTGCTATAGCAATGAGAGCATGTAAGACAGTGCAGAGTGGGAACAGCTGACAACAAATTGGCATAAGCACAAAAGGGATGTCTTTGGGATGCAGATTCTTAATACTCTTAATCATAGAAAAAGTGACTTTTTAGATGTTTAGAATTTGAAGGCCTTAATTATCAGGTAACTGATGCAGAAGGAGGAGAGCACAGGAAGAAAGCAGCTAACATAGGGCTAGCTGGTGGTTAAGGCTACTGGCTCACTGTACCTCAGTGAATTCTTCACAGGAAAACAAGCCTTACATTTGCAGGAGCCCATGTAGTCTAAGTGCAGCTGGCGTCCCATTTTCATCCCTTCAAGCTGACATTTGGTGCCAAAGAGCTGACATGTGCCTTCGTAAGTCTTATTGTCTGTACCACAAACCTGCAGGAGGAGTGAAAAACAAAACCCCCACCACTCTCTTGAGAAAAATTCTGGTCACTCCTATAGGCATTGCAATAATAAAAGTCTCACTAACATATGGGGGAGCAGCTGTGAATGCCCACAGGGAATACATGTGATCAGAAGTACTGGAAATTGTTGTTGTTAATGCCTACATAAGGATTAGTTGTCTGTGCTTGAGCACCCGGGTTTGAGACTCTTGAATTTATTTTTGTGTGGTAGTAATACAGTTTCTGAGATGGTGCAGGATTAGTAAGAGAGGTATGTACAGTATTCAGCATATGCTCTGTACCATCAAATGGATAAAACTCCCAGTGACAAGGAAACACTGTGATCTCTGAAAGCAAATTACTTCAGGTACTACACGTGTTCATGCCATTCTTGAGATACAACCAGAGTTTGGGTACTTTATACTTACTTTTACAATTACTGGAATCACCCAAACCCACTTGCATGCTTTTTAGGGTAGAATTATTCTAAATAATAGCAGGGAAGTGTGTTATCTTGTAAACACTTTAGTTGGCCTTCCCCCATGCTGTGCACTGAGCAGAACACTTACACGCTCATAGTCTTTGGTGGAAGGGCAAGCAGCAGGATCTTGGCAAATGCAGCTGGGTTTCCCTTGTTTGTCTGCATGGCAGACTTTGCCTCTTTTGCAGTGGAAGTTCCTGCATGGATCTAGCAATCATAGCAAGACAGAGGAACTGTTAGAGGGGATGGGGTGAAGTGTTTGTCAGGTACTATGGACAGTCAAAGCAAAATACAGCCCAACATTCACCAGCAGCCAAGTGCTTTTTAAAATTGTTGTTCAAATGAAGGTGGATCTTGTGATCTTATTGAATAAAGCAAGCCAAACTTTAAATGAAGGGGTTTTTTAATGACACTTCCAGCAGTCCCAGGTTTGAGTTTTATGGGGAAGTAAATTTCTTAGAAAAAGCTCTTTCTCCTTTAAGGATTCTTTAAGGACATTCACTTCAGCTTACTTTGGTTAAACATCCCATCTGTCCTTGCTGAATCCAGCACTGGCACTTGTCCCACTCCTAGTGGAAACCAACTCCTGTCCTGAAACAGAACCGTTTCAACCCAGAGTAATTCCCCTTCCTGGGTAGCTGGCACAAAAAGTCGTGCAGTGTCTAAGCCAAGGAGTAAATCCCAGAGTGCGTGGAAGGGGTTACCTGGGGACGTGGCTGCAGTGCAGGTTTGCCCCCAAGCCCAGCTCACCCGTGTGAAGCT